TAAGTAGTATGTAAGCATCATGCTGATTTTGTTTGCTTTGTTGACTGTCACGTGTGTTATATAGTAGATTGTGATCTGGGTATTTTGGCTTTATGAATGAAACCGTGTCAGTGATGTCATCGCTCCTAAACTCATCAGTTGCAGTCAGCTAGACCTTATAGTGGAACTCGAATGGGCAACGAAAGGTTGAGTGTGGTTCCCAGGGTAACATAGGAGAGATCATGTGAGGAGGAAATAAAACCTTATGGGCAATCGTGGAGTAGGTTATGTGGACTTCAGAGAACAGATCAAAATGGAGCTGTGCCGACGAAGCCTTATATTCCACTTGGAATCTCAAGGGATGTTAATAGTGATAATGAACGAGTCTTGTTAGTCTGTGGTGGTAAATGTTGCTTGATAGTCATATCTAGACAGCAGGTTTCAAAGTTAATCATATAAAATTACATCTTCATAATTTTATCCTAGTAATTGTGGTCTTACTTGTACCCTATTGGCACTCATTCAAACTTTTGTATTTTTGAGGTAGGCTTTATCATCACTCAGATATGGTGCATTTCCACCTTGAAGTGTCTAATTTTTAAATGACAAATTCGAATCTTTTTTAGTTGTATTATTATTGTTATTCCCCTGGATTCCGAGTCTTTAGGTAGCTTTACGACTGTCCATAACCTCTCATCCCCTCCTCACATGATCTCCCCTTTATCACCTTTGAACACCTAACTTGCCGTTTCCTATTCGGTCTCCATTCGAGGGCCTGGTGCTTGATGTTACTCAGCAGTCTCCTCAGCGTGTGTCCGATCCATCTCTATTTTCTTCGGAGTATTTGTTGGACAATACGTTGTTGATTGGTTCGTCGCCAGAGTTCCGTGTTGTTAATCCTTTCTCACTTGCCATCTGACCTTCATTATGGGGTCAGCGAAGTCAGCTGTTGATAAACGTGTGTAGTGGCCTGTTGGAAACACGTTTAGTGACGCGCGAAGTGTCTGACCCATATAGTGGAGAATCAAGTTAACATTGGTGTTGGACACTCAAATCTTGTAGCTTATACATATTGCAGTAGATTTGCAAACTGATTTCAGATTAGTGAAGTTGTTTCTTGCCTTCCAGATGTTGTCTTTGACATCCTAATCTGTCTTGTCGCTTTTAAATGAAGCGATGCTTCCTAGAAAAGTGACCACTTGAAAATTTCTCCCGTTGATAATGATTGGTGATTCTTGTTGTTGGTTGGTTAGTTATCTTCATCACCTCCATCTTCTTTATGTTCACTTTAAGTCGACTGTTCGCTGCTGGCATCTTCTGCCAGTTTGTTGGTTTTCGCCTGCTAGTCTTCAAGTTTGTGTGACACTTGACATATATCATCTGCGAAATCTAGGTCTTGTAGAGTTCTCTTATCGGTCCATCGTATTTTTTGTCTTCTCGCTCTCCACGGATGGTGTACTGCATAATCCAATGCATTAAAATCAGAAATATCATCGGTGATAGTATACAGCCTTGTCTTACTCCTGTCTTCACTTCGAAAGCTTCACTGAGTTTTCCTTTGTGAGGTCACTTGATAAATGCTATCGCCATATAACTGTTGAATGAGATTTACAAAGGTTTGGAGTACTGCACTCTTTAGTAGTGATGCAGTTTCCAAATTACTTCACGGTCAACGCTACCGAAGTTCTTCGATGAAGTTCAGGTCGAGACTTAACTGTCATTGTGTGCTCTATAGCATTAACTACAGGTTAAAGAATAACGATCGAACTGAACGAAAGCATCAGTAACCTTCTAACGTGCAATCAGATCAAGGTTGTGAAACTGGGTAAAAGAAACACCATAATTTCGTCTGGAAATGCTGATAAAGGGTGGGAATACCAAACAGGTCACCTTTCTTTATGTCTTTTTTCCTTTCTTATGAGTCTTAATTTTTTCCCTTGACAAATGTGAAAAGAAAAGAGGAAAACCAAGTGAGCACGGTAAAATGACGGCACTATATTTCGTTGGTTCTTTTCAGCTGCGTATAACTATGAACAATGTATTATGACCATACAAAATATCCAAATACTGTGGTTAGTGATCATAAAGGTGATGGATATTAATACTACGCGATTTAATAGCATAGTAGGAATGAATTAATGTCGTTGTTAGGTTTGTTATCACCTATAGAAATGATTTACAAATATTCTAGAATAACAAATTAATAGAGTTGTAAAATCAATGGCACACTTATGTAAGGGTCGAATAATTTAGTTGAACAGAGGTCAAAAAAGGGTCCGGTCAAGAATATAGCAATAAAGATAAAATTTGGATGAGAAATTAATCATTTGATATCAGCATGAAGTTGTTCATAGTTGTACGTAGCTGACAACAGGCAGGGAAATATAATGACGTCATTTTATCTTGCTCAATATGTTTTTCCTTTTGGCCTTATTCAAGTTTGCTATGGATGCAGAAGCTAAAATTCAAGGACCATTGGATCAGGTGCCAGTGTCTCAATAGTCTACGAGCTCGCCTTGTAACCAGAAGGTCCTGGGTTCGAATCCCGGTGGATGCGTGCTGATGAGGAGTTCCAAACTAGGACGAAACAGCTGTCCAGTACTCCCAGGTTTTCCAATGGTTCTCTATCTGATGTCAGCTCATGATGAAATCTTCCATGCAATCAAACAAAATCCCTACAAAACCAATACTTGAAAATTAACTCTATTTCTCTTTTTTTATCCAATTGGTCGTTTGAAGGTTATTAGTGCGTTTGGTCGCTATTCTTATCACTTTGCCTATTGTCAAAGTGTATTTATGATTTGGTGACTCTTTTTCACCCTTTATCTCTCTGCTACCAGCTAATTGTGTCATTTTTTTTAAAGTGAATTAAATCAATTCTTTACGAAATGTGCACTTTTAAATGAGAATATGCTCATGATAATCACAAAATCTCTAGTTTGTGGTCTTTGTTGATTGTTCAGTGTGTTTGGTTAACGTTGGAATCCATGAACCTTCCTGTTAAGGAGTCGTCAGCTGTATGGGCCGGCATTTTCGGTGACTGATGGTGTTCCCACCGACACTCGAACCCCAGATCATCCATCGTCACAAATGCCAAATCTGTACCCACTTGGATATTGAGCCACGAGAGTTGATATATAAACATAGGAAATGCATAGTAACTTCAGCAAATCTGTTGGCCATTGTTGACTATTTTAAGCTATCACATTAATAAATATGATGAAGATATTCACTCAGACATTTCGAAAATAAACTGAGCAAACAATATCCTTTTCAATAATTTCCTCTTCTGGCACGACAGTTATATATATATATATATATATATATATAAATGTATAAAGAATATTCTGGAATAATCGTCATTAACAGCATTGTTGTTTGTTCGGATTAATGAAATTATTATTCCCTTGGGTTCCGAGCGGAACATAGGGCTTCAACAACAAATCTCCACTCTATTCTATTTTCTGCCATCCTCTTCAGCTAGGTCCACGATTGAAAAAACTCCCTCACCTCTTCCTCACACGATATCTTCCATGTCACCCTGGCACCGCCGACCAACTTGTCACTTCCCACTCTAGGGCTTGATGCGCGATTTCATTCGACGGCTTCCTCAATGTATGCCCCATCCATCTCTACTTTCTCCTACATATTTGTTGGGCGATAGGCTCTTGGTTAGTTTGTTCCCAGCCAGAGTTTCTTGTTGTTAATTCTTTCTGGCTGGCCGGTCATTTGATCTTCAGTATGGAGTAGACGAGGTGGAAAGCTGTTGATAAAAATCTGCAACCTGTTGAAAATCTTTCTCGTGACACGTTGGCCAAGTTTCTGACCCATATAGGAGGACCGACTTCACATTGGTGTTGAAAATACGAATCTTGTTCTTTATGCTGGCTGACCGAGTGAAGCAGAAGGTGTGTCTTGCTTGTCTTTCCGATTCTGGCAGGCTTTGACACCTTCATCTATGTTGTCCGACTGCCTGTGGTTGAAACCGTGCTTCCCATCGGGATAAATAAAGGAAGTGAAGTGACCTCTGTGAAATCTCTCCCGCTGATGGTGATTGGTGCTGGTTATTGTTGCTCTTGCTGTTCGTTGGTTATCTTCATCACCTCCGTCTTGTCTATGTTCACCTGCAGTCCTGTCTTCGCTGTCTACATCTTCAACCCAGTTTGTTGGTTTTCGTCAGCAAGTCTTCGAGTTTGTGTGACATTAAACATAAATCATCCATGCCTGAAATCCAAATCTCCTAGAGTCTTCTTATCGGTCCAACTTGTTCCTGTCTTCTCACTTACAAGACACAGTCTGACGCATAATCCAGTCCACCACAATTAAGAATATCATCAGTGATAATAGGTAGGCAGCCTTGTCTTACTCCTATATTCACTTCGAATGCCTCTCTGAGTTTTCCATTATGGATCGCCTGACAAGTAGCATTGTCATATAGCGAGCTGTTGAATGAGGTTGACAAAGACCTGGGCACTGTACGCTGTAGTGTTGAAACAGTTCCCAAATTACTTCTTGATCAACGCTGTCTGTTGAAGGCCTATTCGAGGTCTATGAATTTGTGGTAGATAGAGGTTTGACTGCCATTCTATGCATTGGTGTTTGTAAATATTATCGCCTTGTTAAGATCAATTAAATTACAGTTCTCTCTCTCTCTCTCTACATATATATATATATATATATATATATAATTGTAGAGCCAGAAGAGGAAATTATCGAAAAGGATATTCTTTGCTCAGTTTTTTTCTACAATATTAAACTTCAGAATGTGACTTACTTGCAGTACCTTGTTGCTTCGAACTCAGTCTTAAACTGTATACAAAATAACCGAGAATACAAATTTCCAGTGTCTCTTCTTTACGACGTTTCTTAGTGGACAAGATGAGGTCTAAACGCCTGACTTATCCTTTGTAGTTGCTAGCATTTGTTGAAATTTTTTAAAATGTTTTACCTTTCTTCCTTACAGTCACAATTGCTTCTCATTAGTATCCAGTGATTATCTATTGCCTTTAACTTTTTTTTCTTTCATTCAGCCTTGACCACATTCAAATATGGCATTTCGACAACTGGGTAAATTATCACCGCAAGTATTAACAATGACGGGTTCCACTAACCTCGTATTCCGATTATCTCGTGCTTCTCTGCATATTCAGTCGAACGCGTTATACTCTGATTCTCATCGTCCATCGAAAAAGCCGTTAACTGCTCGAGAAATTGAACAACTCAGTGGTCAATTGCCACACTTTATATTTTTATTAGTTCGATGGTGGTATAAGATAAGACCGTTGAAAGTCGAACTAGCAGATCTACGTCGTCGACTACAACGAAATAAAGAAGGATTCGAGGTGAGTTAACACATGTTATTTATTTGTTATTTTCTCATTCCCTATTATAATTAACTGGGTGCGAATTCTCCCCCCTCCCCCACCTCCTATTTTAGCTTGAATAATGAAACTTTAACATATGTAATCAGTGTAAGAGTAGAATCTCATCTGTGTGGTAGTGAATAATTTCCAATAAGTTTTTTTCTTCAGATCACACATATATCAAGTGTAAGTCCATAGTCTGTGAGCATCGAAAGTCCTGCCTTGGGTAACAGACTGGCATTATGAAGTTATCATGAAATCACACTCGTTTATGGGATAAATTATCATTATTATTTCTTTGGATTCTAAATGCAACATATGGCTTCAGCAACACATAGCCTTTTCACTCTGTGCTTTGCAGTTTGTTTGTATAGCTGGCTGCATGAATTCCCACTGATTTTCATTCCCTCCTCAAATAATCTTCTCCATGTCACTGTCGGACGCCTAACTCATCGATTCGCATTCGGACTCCACTTGACGTGCGGTCATATGATGCCACTAAAATATCCCTTCAGCGTATTTCCAATCCATCCCCATTTCCTTCAGCGAATTTGTTGTGTAGGCAATAGGTTGGTAGCTGATTGGTTACCCTATCTGTTCTAAAATTAAAATAAAATATTCCCATCTTCCTTGTTTATATCTTACAGTGGATTCCTCTCAGTGTTGTCAGCTTCCATTAATGCACATATCAATATTGTTTCTCTGAATATTTTACTGTATATACTACTTATATTTGTGTATATGTATCAATCGCTTTACTTGCATTTACATTTAGCTGACATATTTTCGCTAATTATTTAATTTTTAAAGAGTTTTTTAATACACAATGGTGATAATTTATTTCCAATAGTCATCTTGATGTCATATTATTGAAAATGTGGTCAATCTGTCTAAGCAGTTGACATCCAGGCTGTAATTTTCTAGGTTCGAGTTCTTCTCCCCTTTATTTTAGCCTGAGTTACCAGACTGTATATAGCTTATGTTATTGGTGTTGTATGTGTAGAATTTTATAATTGTGTTATAGAATCATTCCATGTAAGATAAGTTTATGTCTTCGGTTCGTCTATAATAAGGCACCGAAAAACCTACCCTGTGTAGTTGAGTGACATCACCAAGTCAACATTAAACCTAAAAGCAATAATTCACACTTGCTTATGAGGTAAATAAGTAAACTTTTAACTCTTGAAATATTCCCACTATTAATATTAGAACAAGACATATAAGCGAACAATATTGTTTTCGATTAGATCTTCTTCAGGCTTTACTCTAATTTACAAAGATTTATATATAAAACAGTACATAAACCAGGACTTCCTCTTCGCCCAGTCCTAGATATGTCTAATTCCACCTACCATGGAGTGGCAAAGTGGCTAGGTGAACTCCTTCAACCGTTACACAAGATGGTATTAAATCATAGTGTTAAAGACGTTTTTGAATTCATTGCCAACGTAGATGATATCAATGTAAATGGGAAGCAAATGCTATCCTTAGATGTAGCATCACTGTTCACCAATGTACCACTTATGGAAACTGTGGAATTCATATGCCAACAGATACTAGAAAAACAGTTCGACATCGGAATTCCAGTTATTAGTTTGAAAGAGTTGCTTTTTAAGATGTACTATGAATGTACATTTCACATTCAACAACCTTTACTACAGAAAAATCGACGGCATTGCCACGGGTTCTCCATTGGGGCCAATTTTGGCAGATTTCTTTCTTGCTAAGGTTGAAAATGGTCCATTGAAACAAGTAATAGATAAAACTAATTCTTATTTTCTCTATGTTGATGATACGTTCATTACTCTTGATGTGAAAGCTGACAAGAACGAAATGTTAAAAAAGTTTAATGATGCACATCCACCGCTCATCTTCACTTGTAAAGAAGAACATGGTGGTAGACTACATTTCCTTGATGTCCAATTGAGCAGAAGAGAGGATGGTTCACTCAAGAGAGATGTCTATAGAAAACCTACATCTGTAGGATAATATACACATTTCTTCAGTTTTGTACCAATCCGATACAAAGTCAATTTGGTCAGATGCCTCACGAATAGAGCAAGACGTATCTGTACAGATGACTCCCTAGAAAATGAGCTAGGATATATCCAAAATACGCTGGTCCAAATGGGTTATCCTAGTAGATTTGTTAGGAGACACATGAATACCAGGTACAACAAAGAAAAACTGACAACAGTTGAAAAGAAACAACTGTTCATGAAATTGCAATTTAATGGGGACGTGGCTAGCGAAGTCTTACATCTGAAATTATCGAGAGCGATACAACGGACTTTGTTTGTCATTTTCCAGCCGACCAATTATGATTGCTCAAGTGAAAGACAAGCTACCTAGCTGTGCCACATCTATGTGTATCTATAAATTAAGTTGCTCCTGTGGAGAGAGCTATATAGGGCGAACAACTAGACAGTTGAACAAACGCATTAATGAGCATCTTTCTTCATGGTTTGGAAAAGGTCAAATAAAATCTATAAGAAGTTCTATTTTGGCTCATTTGATTGATAGCGGTCACCAAGTGGACACAAATAGTGCCTTTAAAGTTATCTATCGCATTCCATCGAGCCTTTCGAACGGAATTCGAATCCGCCTTTTACACATAGCCGAAGCTATGGGAATTAATTCGAGAGAACAATCCTAGTCTTTGCATACAAAAGAAGTTTGTTCTACCTTTGTCTCTCCCTTGGCCTAGGTGAATTCTATTCAAAACCCTCCCACCCTTTCTTATTTTCCATCTCCTTCGTTTTTCTATGTTATTTATTTGAAGTCTGATTATCTGTCCACTTCACCCTTAGTATTACGTAACTTTTAAGATTTGACCTAATTTATTTATTGAATTGTCTACATATACGTATATTACTACCTTTGTTATTCTTATCGCCACCTGCATAAACCTTATTATCAATATTTTGTTATCATTATAATCATCGTTATTAACTACGTTCAAAACACTTACTACATTATTATTATTTGATCCACAAAATCACCGTCATTAATTAAAAGTTTTTATATATAAATCTATGTAAATTAGAGTAAAGCCTGAAGAAGATCTAATTGAAAACAACAATATTGTTCGCTTATATGTCTTGTTCTAAACTTTTAACAACTTTGAAGGCTGTAATCAGAATCAGTAATGTAGCTCTGACTCAACTAACTGGCACACTATTGTTTGTAAACACATAGATTTGTGTGCAAGCAGTTGGCCAAGATCATTACCTCGGACACCTAGCACCCTCTTTATTTACAACTTTTTAAAACCATATATGTATATCATTTCAAGATAAACCATTCAATCATACTCTAACATTGGAGAAAAACCCTAAAGATTTTGTCTATGTGGACAATTCCTCGTAACTTCTAATCATTTTGACATGGAGATCAAGATGAGCCGTTGTTCTCATAGAAGTACAAATTTGATAAGATATACTCTTTCATTTAAAGTGCTCTAAAATATTAATTATTTATGCAATGTCAGTCAGTTTTTGCTGTGGAAGCACTTTAATTTCAAGGCCGATTTTGTCACCAGTGAAAAGCAGGGAGTTTTAAACAGCTGTTAAGTTCTGGTTGAGGCTATTCTTATGGTAAGCAACCATGAAATCCTCAGGGATGGATCCTAAAACCTTTAGGTTGTGAGGTAAGGTAGTTGATCATTCAGCCACCGGGTTGAAATTCAATAATCTATAAGAATGAATACCCATACAATTTCATCAAAAAGTGTTTGAACTCAAGTCCTAATAGTAACAAGAAATCTTCGTCAAAAGATCACAACAAAATTTACTCTACCATATATAAAGAATGTCTCTGAAATAAAGGCTGGAATACTAAGATAGTTTGAAATAGATGTAGCACACAAGCCAGCACATACACTTCATTCAATATTGTGTAGACCAAAAGATCTAACGGAAAATGAAGATAAAATTAATACCATTCAGAAAATAATGTGCATGAACTGGATATGTAAATAAAGCAAGAACAACAGCTTTTGCAGAATAAAATAATACCATCATTTATTTCTTTGGCTCCTCATCAGCTGCTTACAGCCCAAAGTCATTACTAAGTATATCTACCGAAACAGTTTTAACATGCTTCCACAGAGTTCATTTTAGACAAAAATCAATCAATATATGCATACAGTAATTATATATATATATATATATATATATGTTTTGAGCTCGAAACGTCATCAGTTAGTATTACTGCATAACACTGTGTGATTTATCAAAATAAAATCTTATCCATGATGGAATTATACTCTACCACAGTGCCCAAGTTTTATACTTATATCAAGGGGAATAAATGTATGAAACTGGATATGTGTTACACCTGCCCTGCCATTGCGTTTCTCGTCAATCAATGTTAGCTAATATAGGAGTGGGTTGGGAAAGGGTTAATGATGGTCTAGTCGAGACGTGTTATCAAACCGTGAAGTTTTCAACTGTTAGTTTAAGCCGCGTAAGGGGGTGGTGTATACTCTCTGAATCAATACTACCCAGTTACCTGTAAGCTGGAGTAGGTGGAGTGGGACTCGAACCTCGGACCCATCGACTGTTAGCCGAATACTGAAACCAGTAGACTACATCAATGTGTGTGCTAAACAAAACGCATACAGTTTGCCGTATTGTATGTACCTAAAAAAACAACAACATAAATATTCATGGGGTAGAAAGTTAGTTGAAATAATTTATTAAGCAGAATAAAGTGGACACAATGACGACAAAAACAGATGATTCCTTTTCAATACTGTTATTTTTGTCATTATTTAATTGACTTCTTTATTACGTCAATTTGTAGTATCAAATTTTGCGTTTTTACGTAGACACTTGTGCATATGTGTACGCCTTAGCTTCTTCTTTCTACATTTATTTTTTTGCCCCTTGTATTTCAAGTAATATCGATTTCCTCGTCCATATTCATCTTTCAGATGATTGACTATGGCAATTAGAGTTAGAAAAGTGGGTTCTATT